TTCTTTTCTTTTCTTTCCTTTTTGTTTGTGTGTGTGTGTGTGTGAGTCCCACACGTATTTTCTATAATTTATCGATGATCATGTGGAATGTGGAAGAACTGAATTAATAGTAACGTACGTATGCTCTCTTTCATTCTTATATTTTTTCTCTTTTAAAATACATATTCATGAACTAAAACAACATAATTAAGTGGATTAATGGTTTTGGAGTTGAAGAAATATTGTTTTGCAGGTAAATAGTACTCACTCCGTCCCAAAATTATTATCCAGTTTGAATTTTCACGTTTAGTTCAATTTGTACTAAAATTAAAAATCTAAATTGGATAATGATTTTGAGATGAAAGGAGTATAATTTTTATGTTTTAGCTAGACAGAGACGAAGTGGCGTGAAGTCACTATGTGGAGATGGGCAGGTTTGAAGGAGTGAAGATTACGTTCACATTATATACACACACAAACACAGAGTTTCCTCGTCACCCCCTTGGATTTTTCTTGGAAGGGAAGGACTACGCATAACTCCAATTCCTCCTAAGTTGCTTTCTTTTCTTTGACGTTCCATATTGTCTTTATGCATTTGTCTTTTTTGAAATGAGAAAATTGGAGAATAATATTGTTTTTGGGGGGGCTGTAATTTTACGGTGTAAATTCTAGAAACCATGCATGTTAATTGATTTTTTGGTTGGGGAAATACTACGTCGTAATTTTCTCAGGGTAATCATTTTCAGAGTAAATTCTAGAAACAATCCGTTCGAGCGAGATGAACAATCACGATGCCGCAACGCTACGATTTAAGCATTCTTCTTCTGGGAGGCTGTGAATTTTGACCGATTTGGCAAAAACTATGATAAAATGTAATGGTATACTTCCTTCGTCTCGAAAAATAATTCATATTTAGTTTTAAAATTTATAATAAAAAATAAATAAATTTCAAAACTTAATGTGAACTGTTTTTATAGAATAGAGATACCACCGATAAACATGCAGAAGAACAATTTATAGGAAGGAAGCGACGAAAACTGAATCACATTATATTTAATCCTAAGGACGGGCGCTCGTGGAATGATTTGAGACATTTTTTCTTCACCAATGTCATTTCAAGTAATGACCTTATAAATTTGGTATGCAAAGGGTAAGGAATAACGATCAACAGTATCAAGGTTCCTTTTGATTTGTGTATATTTCAAGAAAGATTCATCCGTATTTTCGGACTTTTTCTTTCCTAATTGAGTTTGATCATATAACTCGTAAACATTGCCCTTTCCAAACAGACAAAGGCCATTGTCCCTTTTGTTAACTAATTTAATCCGTACTGTGGTTTAATTGATCAGTTAATTAATTATAATATATGGTATAATTAAATTAAAGAGATATAGTGTGAAGTATAGTATTTGTTAATTCAGGTTCCATATATAATATACTCGGATAAGGTACTACAATTCTTTGTCACAGAAACTGATCAGATGACACGACCGTCTTTGTCCTGACCGTGTTTCTTTTGCATCCTTTTCTAATAGGTTTTTTCTAATAGGTTTGATTGAGTCATAGATACCCCTTTTGATTATTTTTTTTTCGTTCCTATACCAATAATCTTATTTATTGTATTTGAATAGGTTTCCCCCCCCTTTTTTTAAAGGGATCAATCTTTTTTTTTTTTTTTTTTACAAATAAGATTGATATAATAAAATCGAGACTGAGTAATATAGCAGGGAGCAGTGGACGTAACCCAAAACAGAAATAAAATTCTTGAGCGATCATAATGAGGTAATACTTACATACATACATGCATACATCTCAGTTCTAACGATTAATACATGCTAGGAATTCATTTTGTTCCAAAACTATTACTCTCTTATTAGTCTTTCTGTCTTAAAATAATTGTCAAATTTATATTTTTTACTTTTAGTATAATTTAAAATTTTTTTAAAAAACTTAATTTGGACAATTGTTTGAGACGGAAAGAGAATATCATTTTTTTGTTGCTTTTAAAATATATAGTGCAGAGAGTTGGACAAAAACATATTTTAATAGACAGAGAAAGTGTGTGTTAATGAAGTTGGATTATTTTGAAAATGAAGTATGTGCATGATTAAACTTTCGTCTCTCAAAATGCGACAATCCATAGATCGAGGGAGTAACAAGAAAACAAAATAGTAAAATAAGATGGGATTAATTAATAATGCTTGATTGCTAGGTGCTTAGTTAGGTAATCAACAGATTTGATGGATTGATTTCCTTCATTACTACTACATTATATATTCCACAAACACGTCTGGGTTACGATGTACATTCCGAGTACAACTCTTAAAAAACCAAAAACAAATAAAAACCCCACTTTTGATACTACCACAATTATGCAATAAGTTAACGAGTAAAATCATCGGGATAAGTGCCTAATTGACTTCCTCCCAATAGTTTAAATTTAAGCGTTTTCTTTAAATACAAACTGGATAAGTATTCTACATCAGCTTAGCTGATTAAATAAATATGATTCACTTTCTACTTACTAAAAATTTTGATTCATCAAAATAACAAATATTTCTCATTAATGTTAGATTTTTCACAACTTCATATGAATCGTTCCCATTCAACCAAAAAAAAAAAAACCGTATATATTAGCACACTTAATAACTTTGTACTTAATTATAAATAAACTCTATCTCAAAATATTTTTAATTACAGGTTTTGTTCAAAGGTGGGGTCCATGTTTTGTTAATAGGGCATAGTGAAATGACGACCAACGATGCCAAAAAAAAAAAAAAAGAGAGGGAGAGGAAAATCTATAACGCAATAAATAAGAGAAAATATCACGAATGGACCGATTAAATAAATTCATATGAAATGGAAAATAAAGGAAAGTTTGGCCAAAAGGCGTGTAAGGTGACATCGATATGTCTCCGCTTTTAGGAAAATCGGAGGAAACGTGAGCTTCAGCAACGGGGTGAGGTGATGACGCAGAAACCATGATGCCATAAAATGACATCATTAATCGTAAAACCCATTTTCTGGATAATTAATAATTATTTTTTAAAAAATTAATACGGAAACTACGCGGAACAGCGTGGGAAGATTCTTGGATCTCGGAGTTGCCCCCTCCTAAATCTTTGACTTTCGGATTATTTCCTTCGAAGAAATATTGAAAAATTTGCCATTGGCTTATATTTAATATATAATGCATGATGATGATTGGGATGGCTAGTTTTCACCATCCCAATCCATTTTTCTCTGAATTTTCTTACGTTTTTTTTCTTTTAGTCCATTGAAGATTCCATTGATGAGAAGAAGATAAGCTTTGATTGATCAAAGATTTTTTTTTCTTCCACAATTATTACTAGTAATAATCTTTATAAATATAGTTCAATTATTTATAATAAGAGTTTTATTCTACTACCACTATAATTGATGGCGTATATGTGGTTTTGCAGTAGAAGTAGTAAAAGCGGAACATTGAAAATGATTTATGAAGGGGTAGGCCAATTGAACTGGTCAGCAAAGTGTGATTTATTTTTATTTGTTTAGCTAAAAAAAATATTTACATCCAAACTCCCCATATGAAACTTGAGCTCAATTCTTACCCCCAAATGAATGTTTTAAAATGAGGCGCACAATCTTTTTGTCCTAAAAAAATGGTCATATTTCTTCATCTACAATAATGTAAGAGACCGTATAATTTTTTTTTTTTTTTGGATAATGAATTAAACCTAGAAACTAAATTAATTTAGCCAGATGCCAATCCTTCTTGTTCACCTTAAAATGACAACTATTGTATTGGAATAAGTTCTTTGTTTTTTGAATAATTGGCCAACTTGCCTTAAATTTCTTCACTAACAGCCAATAAGACCCAATTATGAGGCAATACTAGCTAATCAACTTATCCAACAGAATTCATGGATTCTTAAAAAACTAAACTAACTTGCTCACTTCCAGATTGGATCATGTTTATATTATAAGAAAACGGGAAGATGATTCCATTTGTTGTTATAGTTACCACTTAATTCGCTCATGGAATGGCAGATTGGTTTGTAGGCAGCAACTTGGATTTCAAAATATGACATCTAACGGATTCCACGATTAAGAAATATAGTTAATTAGTTGTATTTGTACTTCATCAGTTCGAATTCATAGTTTTATTTCCGCTGAATTCACTCTTATCAAAATCATACCAGAATACCAATAGTTATACTAATCACTAATAATTGAAGTATAGTCTAAACCATTATTACAAAGGTAGCACAATACATTAATTTAACCAAAAAAAAGGGGACTATTTCTTTCATACAACTGCAAGTTGCTAGTATAGTTTTCCACCCAAAGAAAGAGTGCCACTTTGTGCAATTCTAGCAAATCTTAGGGAGTGTAGTGCTCAACATTGTCCAACCCTCAACTCTTTTTTTTTTTTTTATTTTATTTTTTTTTTATGACAGTAGTCCTCTTTAATTCTAAAATAAAAGCATCATCATTTTCCCTCAGGCCACAAACAAAAACACAACAACACCACCACATGTATGTAAACTCTCTCCTTTGAGAAAATTTCTTAGCTTCATTCTCTCAATCAAGACTCAAGAAACATCCCTTTTCCCACAACTTTTTCTTCTTTATACCCTCTCCCTTCCTTCCCTGCCTGCCTTTCTCAGCACTTTACATCATCACTATTAAAAAGCCCACACCATTTTTTTTCTTACTGAAATATACAAGAAAACTTGCTCCCACTTTCCTCATCACCATCCTATATCCCACAATTAATCCACATCCACATAGTTATATATACATATTTTTAGTAGTGCAGCATCATCATCATATTATTTAATGGTTACACATTAGTACTAATGTTTTTGTCCTTTTTAATTTGTCCCGCTTAACTCTGTTTGATCCGCTTCTCTCAAGCTCTACTCCAACTGATTTAAAAAAAAAGAAAAAAAAAAGAAGCTTCTTTTTGGTTGTGAATATCTGAACTGGTTGTTTGCGATTCCAAAAGAAGGGTTGAGTGCATTATTTTTGGGAAAATGGAACAGTTTAATGCTATGCATCAAGATAAGCTTCTTGTTGATCAGTTAACTCAAGGTTGGGAGACCGCCAACCAGCTGAAAGGCCACCTGCCTGATGATGTGAATTCTGAAGCATTGATTCAAAAGATCCTTTCCACTTATGATAAAGCCCTGGCCATGTTAACTGGGAGCTGGAGAGCCATGACGGAAGAAGATTTGACGCCGAATTCGCCTGAATTCGGTACCGGCCGGATGTCTATGGGATTGCCCTCTCCCCTGAATCACCCTCATTCACCAATTGCGAGCACCCCTTCCAGTGAAGTTTCAAATGGTGAAAAACGCCAAAAGAATGTGTCCAGAAAGAGGTAAAAATCATCAACTTCAGCTACCCAGCTAAAAGGCCGTTAAATATTATAGTTGCTTACATATGGTTGATTGATTTTTCTGATTATCAACTTTGGATTCGAATTATATGAGCTGAAATGAATAATGATTGGTTCAATCTGCAGGAAAATATCAGCAAAATGGAACCAAGAAGTTCAAGTTTGCTCAGTAAGGCAAGATGGTGTCTCTCTTGATGATGGATATAGCTGGAGAAAATATGGGCAGAAAGATATTTTAGGTGCCACTCATCCAAGGTAGAAAAAGAAAAACCATATCGAATTCTCATCTCATCTCATCTCTGCTTTTTGCCCTTTTTCCTTTTCCTGACTCTGAAACTTGTGTGTGTGCGTGTGTGTGTGTGTGTGTTTTGCTTCTTTCTGTTTTTTTTTTTGGGGCGGGGGGCGGGGGTGGTGGGTGGTGGATGGTGGGGGTACGATAAAGATGTAACATGATTGATTTTGGCCAAAAACTAACTTTTGTGAAATAATATTACTGTTATTATGCAAATGCGACTTTAATTAAAGCGCAACAAATTAGACTTGTTACCTGTTTTACCAGTATGGCAATCACCTTAAATTTTGTGTCAAAGAGAGTTGTAGTTATTCATTATTTGGGACCATACAGTTTCGCTTAAAGGCTTGATGAACTGTTAATTGATTGAAGCCCGAAAGTCAAGGATTCATACAACCAAAAGCACGTTAAGTTTTGAACTAAGTTAAGAGCTTCTCTGTAGTTTTTAGTCCTTGTATATGGGGGAGGAGAACCCAATGAATGTTGTGTTATCTGTCTTCTGACTTGTCGCAATAAAGTATTTATTATAATACTGTTTACGATGTTATTAATATGAAAGGATACGTACATTTTGTACTGAAAAGTCTGAAAACCATGGGGGCAAAAATATGGAGTAGATAAGGTTTTTGCCTGTGGCCAGTGGGTCAGAAAGGGAGCCACTGATTTATATAATTCGTACCTTATAATTAGAAGAATCGGAGTGAAACATCTTCTTACATTTTGTCCGACTCGAATCTCAATTAGTTGGGTATTTGTAATTAACAAGGTTTGAATGCGTTGATTTGCAGGAATTACTATAGATGCACTCATAGAAATTCAAGAGGATGTTTGGCAACCAAGCAAGTGCAGAGGAAAGATGAAGATCCATCCACACTTGAGATCATCTACAAAGGCAAACACACTTGCTCTTATCAGACCGCAAATTCGACTTCAACCATCACATTTTCTGAGCCTGAAAAGCCCACTAAGTCCCGAAAAACAACACCACCTAACCAAGAAGTTACAACTCAGCAACAAACGTTACAAAACCTAGCACAAGGCCTTACAGTTGAAACTGATCATTCGTCCATCAACAAGATGAATACTAATATTGATCAAGCAATACAAGGCGAAGGAGAAGTCATTTTTCATCCATTCTCCTTTCCTTTCACAACAATGGATGAGCTTGAAAATCAACAAGATGTCCACTTCTTTTCTGATGCTGAATTGATGGATGGCTGTTCTCCAACCACCACGACAACATCCGATTCCTGCTACTTTTCTTCGTCATCACCATTCGATATGATCAGTTCAAAGTATGATCTTACCAATCTCATCACCACTCCAACTTCAGCCATCAATTCGCCTTTCGAGGAACTCGATCATTTCTTAGTCGATGATGATCTCGCGGATTGTGATCCGAATATCCCACTCGATTCCTTCGCATACTTGGCTTGACTTCCCAAATCAATTCAGCAAACCACTAGACAGATTCGATCAAAACAACCTCCTGCCTCTTTTTTTTTTTTTTTTTTTTCTTTTCCTCTTTAAAATGTGCAAAATGTAACTAGATTGATTAGCAGCCGAAACATCGAGCTGAATGAGTAGTTAGCTAGTTACTTCTTACCTTAGTATACTTCAATAGTATAATTTTTTTCCCCTCGTTCCTCTAAGGTACGATGTGCTTCTTCCCTGGTGGCTAGAATGAGAGTTAGTCCCGGAGCCGGGTAGTTTAGGTTAGTGATTGGTGGAATGGCAGAATCTCTGGACCTGTCATTCATTCTTTCCATGTTGATTGTAAAGTTAATATTTTTCCTACCGATGAAATGGTAGAAGCATAAATAATGTTTATGTAAAATCATCAGGTTTGTTGTGTTCCTCATCAACTGAAACTAAAATGTTTGCATCATTCTTCTAACAGTTATACTACCAATAAGCTATTGAACATTCTGCTGAGATTTCTTGAAACACTTAACACTGCCTTGTAGGATCATCTCTGCGTTGTACTTGTACTGAAATCCTCTTTCCTCCAGCTTTGAAGAACTCCATTTGATTTCTCTTTGCGTATCTTCAATGAACCTGGAAATCAATGATACCAAAAAAATGACAAACCATATTATGAACTAAAATCTAGAACCAAACAGTATATAAGTTACTGAATCAATGGTCCTTACTCATCAGGAATGGCATCACCATCATCAAGGCAACATGAAGTCTGCAGAATACTTGCAATCTCAGCCGTGCTAACGAAATCAGAAGCACATAGAAATCTGCCGATCAAGCCCTGATCATCAGATTCAATGCAGAATATGAAAGCTGAAGCAACATCATCAATGTGCACAATTGGAACTTTTCCAATCAATTCCTCCAGGAACCTCAACCAACCATATCTCATCTTATCTTTGCAAAACTGGGAGATCATCACTCTCAGGCTGTCGCCCAGCAACGGTTGAATAATATCTCCTCCAACCAGCCCACAAGCCAGGCTCACCACCTCTAGTTTTCCGTCGGCGTTGCACCTCAGGACCTCTTTTTCTGACAGGGTCTTTGAATGTACATATGCCTAGTGGTGTGTGACATCATGATAAAAACTCAAATGATATAGAAAATTGAACGGAGACTTAATACTACTAATATTCAAATTAGATGGAAAAAACATACATCTTTGAAATTGTCCGTGTAGGGAAAGGATAGATTCAGAGGAGTCCAGCAAGTCTCATCCATGGAGTCCTTAAAACCCGACCCGTCATCTTTCAATGGGGAAGCAGCTACAACAGAGGATGTATACACCAGACGTTTCACGGTGCCTGATTTGATGCAGCTTTCCGCAATGCATTTCACCCCACCTAAGGCTGCTTCTGTTGTGTTCTTGTACTATATAGTATCATATATCATTAAATTGTCCATCATAGAGATTAGTCCCAATGTTTAAGAGCTGAATCGGAGCACTATCTTTTTGGGACGGAAAAAACTGGACAATTATTTTGGGACGAAAGTACTTTCTTTTAAGGGGAAAAAAAAAGGCCTTATTTTTTCAACCACTCAAATTTTGTACTAATTACCAGAGAGCTCCGATGGTCGTGATGGAGCGGAGTGGCGAGATGTACGACGGTGTGGCAGCCTAGAATTGCCGGAGCAAATTCATCTGGATTATATATATCCGCCTGAAACAACACGAGCCTCGAATCCGCATATGGCAGAGATTTCAGAAACCTAACCTTCACTTCTTCACCTGCAAATTCACCACATCCACTTATCTCTCTTCAATGGAAAAATTGAACCCATACAACGAGTGTGCCTTGCTAATACTCATTAACACAAATTTAAATTGAGAAGTTTATTTTCTAGCTACCGGCTCTATAAATGTAACATATCCTATTGTTCTTACATATATAGTTTTTGGTTTGTGAAAAACTAAAAAAGAACCCAAAGAGAAGAGGGAAACATATGTAATAGTGTACCTAGATTTCGGAGAGTGGCATGGACGGTAAAGCCTTTCTCCAAGAGTTTCTTAATGAGAAATGAACCCAGATAACCTGATCCTCCGGTGACACAAACTATTTTGTTGGCCATCTATGGATTTTGATCTCTGTGCCACAAATTATTGAGGACGAATGATGAGAATGACATATAATGCTGATATTAATATTTGAATGATTCACTTGGTTACACTTGTTTTGTTTTCTTGCACTATTTTAATTTAACAAAAGGAAAAAAAGAAAAAGAAAAAAAAGAACCATACATATCAAAATGTGACGGAAAGGGTATAATATCAATGAAAACAAATGGTTTGATTAGCTTGGTAAATTAATGTTTAGATACTCAGTTCAGCTTTGTTCGAGAAACTTTATAACATGCTTATTTCATCCTACCATAATTAATAGTAGTATTCTGCTATTTAATTAGATAGTGGATGTTTCGGAAAACTAGTTCCATTATAGCTAGAGAAGATTCTGCTGAGATTTCTGGAAACACTGAACACTGCCTTGTAAGATCATCTTTGCGTCATACTTATACTGAAACCCAAATTCCTCCAGCTTTGTAGAACCCCATCTAATGTCTCTCTTGCTGTCCTCCATGAACCTGTAGAACAATGATGATAATAATATCAAAAAGGTTATGTATGTACTTATAGTTCCATAATTAGTTGACCTCCTCTGAGGTAGACTGGATGCAAGTATTAATTGTAAAAAAAACTGAATGAATTAAGTAAGTTGGGCAGTTGGGCTTACTCATCATCATCATCATCAGGGGAGCAACAAGTCGTCTTCAGAATGCTTCCAATCTCAGCCGTTTTCAGAAAATCAGAAGCACAGAGAAATCTCCCGATTAAGCCCTCTGTTTCAATGCAGAGTATGAAGGCAGAAGTAACATCTTCAATGTGCACAATAGGTACTTTTCCCATCAGTTCCTCCAAGAATCTCAACACTCCATACCTATATATGCATATATTAAACATTTTATGTATTGACGATAAACGATAAGAGGGATACTCAAAACATCAAATTTAATTAAGTTCTTACAAAAATGAAACAAATCCCCTGTTTTGAGGTTCTAATGGTATATACCTCCTCTTATCTTTGATGAATTGTGATATCATGACTAACAGGCTCTCGGCCGGCCACGGCTGTATTGTATCCCCTCCGACAAGCCCACAAGCAAGACTCACCACCTCTAGTTTCCGGCCTTCGTCGTCATCGTTGCATCTCAGGGCTTCCTTTTCTGACAGTGTCTTTGAATGTACATATTCCTAGTAGTAGAATTAGTACATTTAATTTCTATTACTTCAAGTATGAGTTAAAATTAATTTTGTTCTGGGTGTGAATATATAAGCTAGATGATGAAGAAGAATAACATACATGGAGAAAATCTTGAGAATAGGGACAAGAGAAATTGAGAGGACTCCAACAGGTCTCATCCATGGCGTCCTTAAAACCCGACCCGTCATCTTTCAAAGGCGCAGCTGCCATAACAGTGGCTGTGTACACCAGACGCTTCACTGTGCCGGAGGCTATGCAGCATTCCACTATCCTCTTCACCCCGGCTATGGCTGCCTCTGTTGTGCTCTTGTACTGATTCATTATCGGGATATTCCAATCAAATTTAGGCTTATAACTATTTGTTCGGTTGGAGAAAATCATTGTTCAAGTAGAACAAGTAATGATACGGTAAGCTTTAAGAAGGTTTAAGACTTTTACTAGTTCCCTGAGAATGTAACGTTGCTAATAAATCATACTCCTTCCGTTCTCAAAAATTACTTACTTCGAAGTTCAATATCAATTATTTTTCAGGAACAGAGAGAGTATAGGTAAACGATTGAGAGAGACTTCTCAATCATGGACTAAATTGTTTTAGTAATTTAAACCATCCAGTCATGAATGAATGAGCCGTCAGTCTGTCAGTCAAATCACATTCCTTTTGAATCACCAAAAAAGGAAAAAAAATTTCCAAGCGTCGATTTTTTTCGTCGGATATAGTGTAACGAACACGAAGTAACCGAAGAAAAATTGTGAAAAGTTTTACATGGACAAATATGTAAACACACTAAATTTTCACAAATCAATGAAAACAAAATCATCTTTAAAATTTTTTGTGCGTTTAAGATATCATTAATTTTTTTTTTTGTTAAGTTAAGAAAACCAATGACCAAGTTGAAGCGTATGGGACTAATTTTGTGTCACGTCAAATTTCACACGTTTCAGTGTACTCTAAGTATTTCCTTATCTAAACTATTTCATTGTATTTGAATGAAATTGTATATTTTTCCACTTATGAATTGAAATAAATGCAAAGTGTTTTTTTTTTAATGAAAAATATGTAATAACTCAAATGTTCATTTCTTAAGGAGACATTGAAAAACATCACATTTCTTTTTGAATCATAAAAATTCTAATTTATAATGATTAATAAATAAAAATTTTCTCGCGTCGACATTTTCATCATGCTAGATAAGTAGACGAAAAAGTCAACGAACATAATTTCCTTAAAAAAAAAAGAAAAAGAAAAAGAAAAAGAACTAAATACTTGAATTTAATTCAGCAGGATCTGCAGAACTCTTCAACAACACCAGACAGTACTTGTTGAATTAGATTTTCTTTGGCCTCCTAGTATAAATTAAATATTAAACTACACAAATTTTCAGATTGACTTACCGGAGAATCCCCGGGTTGGTGTAGCAAAGGAGTGGCGACATGTACGACGGTGTGGCAGCCAAGAATCGCCGGAGAAAACTCATTGGGATTATATATATCCGCCTGGAACAACACAAGCCTAGAGTCTGCATACGGAAGATTTTTCAGCAACCCAACCTTCACTTCGTCACCTACAAATCAATTCATTTCATTAATCACAATATAGATATGGGCCGGGAGAAGAGAAATCATTGGAACAAGTGAACTCTAAATATGTATAGAATATATATATGATCGGAGCGGTAACGTGACGATCGTATTTTATATTAGTATATTCGATTTTACAAACAAAAAGATACGTACCTAGATCTCGGAGGGTGGCGTGGACGGTATAGCCTTTCTCCAAGAGTTTCTTGACGAGAAATGAGCCAAGATAGCTTGAACCCCCTGTCACACACACCCGGGTGATGGCCATGAGTTACAAGTGATATATGATAGGTGATAATTAATTTGATGATGCTGGAGTTTGCTCAATGCCTCTCATTTCTCTAATTTATATATAAAAAAAATTCAGAAATGTCCAACAACTGTCTCTGTTATAAAATACGCATTTTTTCACCGGTCAGAGTGGGGCTTATGTTTTGGTGGACTTTTGAAGTTCTGATCTCTTTGGGGATATCATGCTTGTCACTTTCTAGTCTTTCTTTTGAATGTTTATTACACCAAAACATCCTTAATTAATTGGTCATCCATAACTAACCTTTCAACGAAAAACTGCTCCCTATTCTTCATCTAATCATCAAATTTAGCTACCTCAAAGTTTCATTTTATTTATAAATGACCAAAACGTAGCCTGCATCAAATCTATAATCTACAAATCAATGTTCCCTCACAATGAACAAATCGTCTAAAACTATCTAAAAGTTAAGTCTTTTTATCACATAAACTTTTTTTTTCTTTTTTCAACTGATATGTTATAAATTTAAATGAAACCCTTACTTTCGAGGAAAAAGATGGGGGTTGTATATTATAAACTAGCGTGGTTGACTACTGAAAGTGGTTTGAAAGGGTTGATTTGGACATTTAATTAATGGTAGATAACCAAATTCTGTTTTAGAATATTGATTCAATCCAAAATCGGAATAGTATTAAATCATATTCCGTAAGGCAAATAATATGAAGCTCCTATGTGTATCTTGCAAGGTATACTCAGAAGGTGCGTGTAGCACATATGGGCCCAAAGAAGTGGAGTATCTTAGCCCCTAAAAAATAGACTTCACTCGCGCATTAATTATCCAAATCAGCAGTTTAATTACGTGATCATCAAAACGTGATCCTCGCAGTGAGTTAAATTTTAAACGGTTAATTTTGATTTCCATTATCTTTAACAAACGTCTTTGAACAATTATACAATACTGAGAAAGTTTTGTAACAATCGTAATACTCTTCAGTCTCAAAAATTAATCACGATGGAAGGTGTAGATTGAAACATCAGAATAGATAGTAATTCCGATGATAATAATTGGGATTATAACGACGAAGGTGTTGCGGATATTGCTGAAGAGGATGTTGCAACTATGGAAGGATCGTTGAATTCGCAGTGTGTAGAAGAAATCTTTGATGTTGATTATGTTTCGTCAGCAATTGTTGTTACAATGAATAACGATGTTCACAAAGATGAATAACTATGCAAATATGATGAATAATGATTTCATCATAAATGAATAACAATATTACAATGAAGAATAGGTATAGTTTTGCAAGATTAATTATTATAATTTAATGAATGAATAATATACGTTAGTAAATGAATAACTTTGATAACAAGAGTATATATTACAATGGGTTAATGTAAGTAACTAAACTAACAAACTTCTAATTATGTATTATACTAGACAAAAAAAAAAAAAAAACTAGTCACTATTTTTAAGATATAAGGTCTTGAAGGATTCGCCGATGTTCGATACGTTTATATTGATTATTTGATTTCAACAACTCTGGCAAAATATTTGATTCCTGACCGATCGACTTTATCTTGATGAGCATTTTTTTGCTACTGATCGAACAAAAAGAATATTATAATAAGTTAGATTTTACATTCAATCAAAACTCTGTTAATCATCAATAACAATGCTATTGAAGATGAAGAATCATTTTGAAAATGATTCATAAACATTAAAATTACATAAATCGAATCTTGTTAATAACAATCTTGCACAGGTGCGTATTAAATGATGAATAACAATATCACTGGTGATGAATAACATATCTTTGCATAATGAATACACATATCTATGGAATGAATAACACATATTCAAATGATGAATGACATATACTGACAGGATGAATAACTCAATTTTACAGGATTATTGACATATATTTACAATTGTACATAGAATAACAACCCTTTACTGATGAATAACTACTAATGAATTAATGAATAACTGTACATGGATGATGAATAAAGTTGGAGACAATGAATAACAATCCTTTGTTGATGAATAACAACCTTTTACTGATGAATAGCCCCAAAAAAATTCAACAACACAATCTGATGAATAACAAATACCAAACTGGTGAAGAAAATTAACCGATGAATAATACATAGTTATGGAAACGATGAATCTGACAATTTCAACAATGAATAATTATATTAAACTAATGAATAATTCCCAGATCTTCTAATTTACCAAAAAAACAGCAAATCGAAGAACAAATCTCTAGAATTGATTAACAAACATCGTTAATCGAGTGAACAGAACTCATATCTACATAACCCAAACAAAAAAACACACCAATGGTTAAAGAGAATAGTTGTATTACCTCGCTTCCCCTTCATCCTCCGATTTGCTCATACTCGGTTCGGAGTCCTCAGCCATAAGCATCTACATGAATATTTTAAGGAAAAATAACATTCCTCAAACCAGAATCAAACAACAACGGATAAACACAGAAAAATCGATGAATTTGACTAGAATTTACCTTAACCCTCATTTTCAGTATTGTAACTTGTAACCAGAATCAGCGTTTTTGATGAACGATCTGATTTAGACTTTGAAAGTCCTGCAGATGGTAGCTTCTCTGGATGTATCGCCGCATGAATGATTTTCTGGAGTTTTCAGATTTTTTTGGTTTGGGGAGTAATGGAATGAATCGAACGGGAAGTTGGATAATCAATAATGACCAGAAATTAGGAGATAATGGTAGTTATCGGAATTTGAAAAATAAAAAGTCGCGCATAAGGAGGTATTTAATGGGCACGTGTTTTTCACTCGGGTGGTAGTGTTGTAATTTTCGGAAGCCCCCATATTTTTGGGCGCGTGTGTATCTTTCTAGGTGTATCTAAGAGCTTTATATTATAAATGTACTCCGCAGTCTTTTAATTGGAACTTTCAAGTATTTAATCACACGAATTTAAAGAATAGGGAGTATATTTTAATTTGCAATTGAGACTTAGTTGAATGGGGCTGCTTGCTATTTTTTAAATCTAAATCCCTTTGACTATTAATATTTAAACCCCTGTAGTCATAATGACTAAGAAGATAGAAAATGTCGTTAGGTAGTTTAATTTAATGATAATTAATGCTTCGATTTCTAGCTCCGATATCTTTTTGGTTTTATTCTATTTTATTTGAATGGGACCAAAGACAATCCCAAATGTGTGTTTGTCATTTTGCCACAATTTTGCGTAGGATTTGCTGAAGTTAAAGTTAGTAAATTTTTGGATTTTATATATTTATTATATTATGTGTAAGAACTTTTTGGCGGTCAATCCAAAAGGTAAATCGGTAGGTTTTGAAATTGACCCAAAAATGTAATTAAAAACAAAAACCATTTTATATGGTTGTACTCATTATCATTATTGGAGGAGTTATTATGTAACATATGAAAAAAAAGAAGTTGACTTAGGTTTATTTCTCTTTTACTCAATCAGATCGTAAGTATTACTTCCTCAGATCGTTAATATAAGGCATTTTGATTTATTCTAGATTTCACCTAGTACGCATTTTTAATTGACGAAAAAATTTTCAAAATATTTTTTTACAATCAAGAGAACATAAAGAATATGAAAATATATTTTTTTAATTTTTTTCATTAATTAAAAATGCATATTAGGTGAAAACTAGAATAAAATTAGAATGTTTTATATTAAGGACCGAACAAAGGACCACACAAATGCCTTTTATTTTATTTTATTTTTTAAATTGATAGATCTTTGATAGTTTGAGTCCGTTACATATTGACGATTATGACCAAAATGTTTTATATATCGACCGCTTAAAAGTTTAATATGTACTAATAGCTAGCGCCTTAATTAACTTACATACCCTAACTGTTAATTCAATAAAATGAAATTATTCTTGGGGGCTTGAAGTTGTATCTAAAATGATTATTGGGCTTAACTTTTTATTTAATTCTAATCATACTAAATCTAAAAAATTCAAATAAAAAAATTTGTTTCGAAATAGAGGGAGTGTACGTTAATGCGCCTGCAATCGCTGTCTGGGGAGGGCAGGAAAAGAAAGCCACCTGAAGCTTCCTATATGAATGTTTAGGTGCTTGTTTGGTCGTCATCTTACATTTCATTTTATCACTTAAAAATGAAAAGTGTTTCAAGTTGAAAACTAAATGGAAAATAAAAACGTTGTTTGGATGTTGGTTTTGAAAAAAAAGTATTTTGAACTATATTTTGAAATATCAAGTACAAGTCATCACTAAACAATTAAATACTGTCAATTATAGTCACTGCAAAAAAGAACTTTTCCAAAAACAATCACTCAACAACGGAATCCTACCAAATTTGTCATTGAACTATTTGTAGTTCTAAAATGGTCATTACACTAACAAAAAGAGTTTCAAGTTGGAATTTAAAATGTAAATCAGAAAGTTGTTTGGATGATGTTTTCTTTTTCATTAGGTTTTGTATTTAAGAGGTAAAATAAGTTAAAATGTAAAATGAGTGCTTGTTCAAACAAAGCCACGGTAAGAAATTAATTTATACTCCTACTACTGAAAGAAGAACGTGATGACAATGGTACATTAGCCCTCCTATGTGATTAAGTCGAAATTATGAAAAACTTTACAATAAACTTCTTTAACTAACATAGTTACGTACCAGTAAAAAGTGTCTATAAAAAATTAAATTTCTTCCAAGAATTTTAATGTTTTCTTTGGGATTTTGTTCAGTTCTGATGGTTGAAAAGCAATTCACATAGAAAAATCATAAAGATGGGAATAAGTAAAAGTTTAGAACCAATGTCTTCATTTTTAATCCCATTTGCGAAACTATCTCATTCGCCTTCCTATATTATACTTATATGATTTATCATTTCAATTTACTTTTTTATTTTATTGAAAAAAATATTTTTTATTTGAAAAATTTAAAAACCCAAGAAGTAGAATTCTTAATTGGGCCGATTAATTCTCCCTTCTCGAATTTCACGCCCATATAGTATGGGCTTCGTTTACATGTGGGTCGTCAGTTCACAGCCTTTTGAAAAACTGAAAAAATATATCTCTTCTATTCCAAAATTATTGTCTAGTTTGAACTTTCATATCTTGAAATAATTAATCCCTCTGTCCCAAAATTATTATCCGATTTGAGATTTCACTTTTAGTACAATTTGAACCAGAAATCAAAATTCAAACTGGACAATAATTATGGGACGGATGGGGTATCTAATTTGAATTTTCATGTTTCGGAACAGAGGGAGAAAATGCAATTGGGCTAACATAGCCCTCCAAAACTTTCCAGGATAGACTAAAACACTTCAGGTCACTTACTACACGTTATAATTACAAAATATAAGTAAGACATGGAGGATAGAGCAATATTTATATAGATTAAATAGATGACTAAATAGGAAATACTCGTTTTACTTGAACTTATAAAATTAACGGTACTGAAATATTTAAACGGAACTAAATAGCTCGTAAGGTACATACAAACTCTGGATACCCAGTGCCCCCAATGTTTCATTGTCCGCCCTGTATATAGTTTTTGGAAATTTACTTGAGCAGTGTATACTAAAAACACAACGACATTGTTGACGTCCTGAATATTTTGACGACAAATCAAGTAAATTTTCAATTAAATGTAGTATACACATTGCCACTTTCAGCTCATACATTGTCGTAAACCGTAACTTAAACGACTAACATACTTACATATACATAACATGTATCATGTATGATTATTTCTGTTTAAAAAAATAATACACATTGAATTTCGAAATTTATATTATTTTTAGTATAAATTTTAAAACTTAATGTACATTTTTATAGGGCAGGGAAAATATTAATTAAGATAATGACATATGTTGTCATCATGTCATGTTAACCACAAAAGTCCAAGATCCCAGCATCTTGTTTTAGATCGTGCTTTTCTTTTCATCTCAAAAAACTAACATGTTCATGATAGTATTGTATTACAACAAACATTAGTTTAACTTTAGAACGAAACGGATATAATCCAATACGTGAGAAGTTAAAATTGATGATTATTAGTGAATTACATATATATTTAAGATCATCAAACGTTCTCAACAATCAATATCAATCAAATGAAGAAGCAAAATAGAGCCGGAAAAGTCATTCGATTTTTATTTTTACTTTTTTTTTTCCTCTCGTGATTTTATTTTAAACAACGATTATCAAGAAATATCGGTTGTCTAATTGGATAAGAGAGTTTGTTTTGTCTTCAGTCGGTGTAAAAATATGAAGATTGATCATGAACAACTATAAACAAGAAATTATTGTTGTCTTGATACAATTAAAATATTGAGATATATTCATTTCTAGCTTAAATAACATTAAAACTCAAAAGTCGAGTTGCATAAGAATCTTTGAAATAGGGATACATTTGTTTACTTGTTTATGTAATACTCCTTCCGTCCCATAATTATTGTTCAGTTTGAGTTTTCATTTTTAGTTCAAATTGTACTGAAAGTTAAATCTCAAACTGGACAATAATTTTAGGACAGAGGGAGTAATAACGTGCCCCAAGTGAATTTCCATCCTAGCTCCGCCAGACAGAATAATGTACCTTTTCCTTCTTTCTTTTATCCAACCCTCCCCCGAAAAAAATTCTCTCTTTCTTTTTGTCTAATTTAAATTCCAAATAGGGTCGATAAGAAAATCAATTAAACCCTTAAACTCTGAAATTCTTCTTATTATTTTTTTCTTGGTTTTTTTTTAATAAAAAATTTAATTTCATTACTACGTGAAATCTTCCTATTACCTGAAGACATCAACAACTTTCAAAAATATCGAATAATTGAGTTACACTAAAATATCACCAAGAATTCCAATTCTCATCTCCTCGAATATGCTTGAATTCCATAGATGCCTACATTTCTGGGCAACCGCGTAAGAGTTCGTCTTCTTCGTTTGATGAATGGTTACTGACAAACTGATATTAGACTAAAGTCGATATATAATTTCCTACAAACTAATACTAGTATAATTTTTAACGTCAAAAACAAGCTTAACGCTTGGAGCAAAACGACGGTTGACATTAGTCTATATAAGGGCATAGAGACGTTTTATTTTTCTTTTTTGGTAGAAACATAGAGACTCGTACATTTCCAGCTAGCTAGCAAATAGCTTTCGTGATGCAACCAATCATTAGATAGTTTTTTTTTTTTTTCTGATCTTTAATTATGTTCGTCTTGGCATCATTAATTTTCCTCAAAGTATGTAACGTACACATGGTGGAAATTGATTTCTTATAGAAGATTTTGTTTTGAACTGAAATATGTTTGGGTGAAATTATGTGACTTTAAGAGCTTTTGATTCCAATATCTGGTTGAAGAGGAATAATGGTGTGCAAAATGCTTATTATTTTGGTGGAAAAGTTGAGAACTGGTATGATACGGCTTTAATTCAAAACAAATTACAAATTCGGTAGTATTGCGATGTGAACATGATCAGTGATCACTTGATTTGTGGTGCCTAACAAGGGCTAAATAATGAAGGGAGTATGTGAAATTATAACTTCACATATAATTAACATTATATGAAAATTGCATCGTATAAAAAATAATCAAAATCTTAACCACAAAAAATTGTCATCTCTAAGCTCAAACAAACAATGGTACATGATATGAGATTGTCTAGCCGTACAACAATAACAGTTAAGAAATATTAACGTATTTAACTAATTACTACAATTTAGGTTGGAGATTGTGACATTTAACAAAGTGCTAACAACTAGCGTCCGCACTTCAAAAAAACTAGCGTTCGCAAATTAAAACACGAAGCAAATGCACATTTTGCCCCTTTAGTATTCTAATGCACATTGAATAATAATTTTTTTATTTTAAAATAAGTGTTGTTTTAACAAAAATGAAAAAATTTTACTTAGTGTTGTTCTTAAACCATATATTTCGGAATGGAGGGAATATTAGCACCATGTAGTTTTTTAGTTGGAGGACAAATTAAATTAACCACTGAACAAACGGAAACTGAGAAAATTAAACAAGAAAATTACACCAGCGATGAAATCATCAATGTAAAGGAATGCCGGCCACAAATTAAAAGACTGAACCAACTATAAATGGTAATACAAGAAACCACAAACTGATGCCTTTGTCTCTAATTTCGTGGAAACCCCAACATCAAAGAGAAACAAAAAGTTACGTCTTCTTTCTCTAAAACAAAAAAAACAAAAAAAAAAGAAATGATACACACAAAATATATGAGTGCCATACAAAAAATAACGAGTCCAGGTGTTTGATACCTTCGCAAGTATCAACACTATTAGTACAGAGTATATAGCCCGAGCTAGCCTTCACAAAATAGTACTTGAAATCAATAGAGTATATTGTTCATTTTCCTATACCCTGATATTTTCAAAACTCAAAATCATACATCAAAACTTGAATGAAGCAAACACCTCATGTAGCATTCCTGCTATCCCCAGGAATGGGTCATATGATTCCAATGCTGGAGTTAGCCAAAAAATTCACCCACCAAAATATTTCATCAACCCTAATAGTTCCGGATTCCGGGCTCCACCCGGACGAGGAAAAGCTATTTCTGGAATCACTTCCAAAAGGAATCATCAACCTAATCCACCTCCCAAAACCTAAATTGGACGACGTCCAAACCGATCCAATCGGCGTCATAATCTTCACCATCGCTCGATCTCTACCATCCATTCGCGACGCAATCCGATCACTAGTTGCCACCACCAACTTAGTTGCCCTAGTGACTGACTTGATGGGCTCCGCCGCGTTCGACGTCGCCAGAGAATTAGACGTCCTTCCTTACATGTTCTTCCCATCTAACGCCACAGTTTTATCTCTATATTTATATCTTCCCGAACTCGATCCAAACATCTCCTGCGCATACAAAGACCTTGCCGGTCCGGTTCAGATTCCGGGATGTATGCCATTACGGGCCGATGATCTTTTCGAGGCGTTTAAAGACCGAGATAGCTTTGCCTATAAATGGATTATTAGTGAAGGAAGAGCTTACAGAACGGCCGCCGGAGTTCTCGTCAACACGTTTGATGAGATGGAGAGCGGAGCTATCAAAGCCTTACAACAAAACGAGCATTACCCCCCGGTTTATCCCGTCGGCCCAATAGTACGGCCATCAGATGAGGACAAACATGCTCCAATGATGATAAAATGGCTGGACCAACAACCCATTGGTTCAGTCTTATTCGTATCATTCGGAAGCCTTGGGTCACTTTCACAAGCCCAGATTAAGGAACTCGCTTTCGGGTTAGAAATGAGCGAGAAGAACTTCCTCTGGGTGGTCCGAAACGGCGACCTAAAACAATTGCTCCCGGTAGGTTTCTTGGACAGAATAGTAGTACGTGGACTGATAGTATCGGACTGGGCTCCACAGGCGAGGATACTGAGCCATTCATCGACGGGCGGATTCTTGAGTCACTGCGGATGGAACTCGGTGATGGAGAGCGTTGCAAACGGCGTGCCGATGATCGCCTGGCCGCTTAAGGCGGACCAGAAGATGAATGCCGCCTTGTTGAGTGAAGAGCTCAAGATAGCCATCAGGATTCAAACAAAAATTAGAAATTGCAAAAATGCCGGAAATGATGAAGATGGAGAAGAAGGATTGATCGGAAGGAATGAGATTGCTGGTGTTGTGGAGAGCTTGATGGAAGGTGAACCAGGTAAAGAGCTCAGAAAACGAGCTCGAGGCTTAATGCAGGCTGCAAAATTGGCGGTCAATCCAGGTGGTCAATCTGCGAAATCGCTGCTTGACTTTGTTTTGCATCTGGACAGAAACTAATAAATAAATATTATTTCCAATACCTAAATTAAAACACTTTACTTGAGTAGTAGTGATTTTTGGATTGTGTTTTTTTTTTTTAAAAAAATAAAATCTTCTAACTACTACTTTTGTTTTTTTACAGAAAATTGTACAAGAACAATAAAGGTTTATACGAGTATAATATAATGATGTGCCCCCAAACAACCATAAATCTTTTCTTTTATTTTCTACATATTATCTTTGTTGAATTGTTTAATTTTCTTTCATTTTCCGACATTAATTGTTCATTCCTTGACATCCAAACTGATAAAGAAAAGAACCCGCTTGGGTTTTAAAGTTAATAATTTTTCTTTGCAATGCTAGACGCACTTAGCATCATTTGGGAGTAAGTTATAATAGAAGATGAAGAGTGTTTTTCTTTTCTTTTTTTTTTTGTTTTTATTAGATAGAAAACTAAAAGAAAGATAGTCAAGTTTCCATGGCAGGATAATGAAGAGGTCATGAATACATTTAGTTGAAAATTAGAATAATGAATGAAGAGCGTAGATTAATGAATTCCCATGGTTTAAATTAAGTCAATTCTTATTGAAGACCGAAGAGCGTAGAGTTTATTCATTTGGATTTAATGTTTATCATTGGTTTTATTTTATTTTATTCTCCTTTCATATATTCCATGTTCAAATATTTGCAATGAATCCAAATACTTACTTATACTAAAATAATTGTCTAATTTGAATTTTATTTGTAATATAAATTGTATTTAAAGTAAAAACTTAAACAGATCAATCTCTTTGTGACTGATGGATGCGTAGATTTTATCTTCTGGATATATAATCTTAATTTTTTCATTAAAAATATATAAAGAAAAAAAAAAGGAAAAGGAAAACGTGTAAACTAGGAAACAATTGATTGGGCTAATTCCATGGAGCCTATTATAGTTTGTGGATTATGAAGTTGTAGAGTCCAGACACTCATCTCATGTCATTGTTAGTCAGAACAGATCATCAGTTGATTTTTCGCTCTATAACACATTGCATGTAACTCATGATAATGTTTAGTATTTCCTTTTATCTGGCATCTTTTCATCGTGATAAGTATAACCATATTGAAAATGTGTTCGTATATACTTCATTTCTCCCATATTATTGTCCTGGTTTGTTGATCAATCACTTTGAAACAAAGAGAATTTACACATTGAATTAAGTGGTCCTAACTCCTAATTAATTGTTAATTGTGAAACAAAAAAACAAGATAGCCACCCTATCAAAGGGTTTGGCTCTAATTTCTTCTAATTATGATAAAAGAAAAGGGGGGAAAAAGCAGCACAATACGTGTTCTAAGGACTGACTCGTTAGCCAAATATTCTACCTCGATCATTTTCGCGCACACAACTTTTTGACCTTATTATCCATGCAATCATGCATGTTCTAAAAGTAAATTTTTGGGTGATTCCTGGTTCCTGCCTAGTTTGCGAGATATTCCCTCCGATGGACTTAACAAGGTAGCTCCATTTGCGCTCATCAGACAAATTAATATATGGCTAGCCAAAGAAAAAAAAGGGGGAAAAAAAAAGAGAGGAAAAATGGTTATTGCCATTTCTCAAGGCAATTTCGAGGGAGAGTATGTAATATACCACCCCTTCCGTTCCAATATGTTTTTTTTCTTCTTTTTCATGAAGGGAGACCTGGAAAGCAAATTGAACTAACAGGTCTGTGGGATAAAGAAGTCTATAGCTCTATAAACTATGATCATAATTAATGACGAAGATCGCCAAGCCTCCCAATAGCTCTTTTCTAAATTGTTGTTTCACGTACGTAATCGCTTTGAAGAAGTAGATCATAATGGTTTTAAAAAAATTATATGTATGGTAGTGGGAAGAATGATATCTAGATGCATTTACTATTTAGTTTAATGGGTTGGATTTAACAAAGTCTTAATTTAGAGCGGAAAGAATATGAGAGTGATAAAATGATGATCATTAGTGAAATTGTGATCCACCAGTAGTGAAATGATTCTTGAAGTCACCTATCATGATTGTTTATATTATTCTCTCTCCCTCCATCGTACAAGTGACAGTTATGTTTGTTCATCTAAATTATACAGTAAATTGATATTAATTTAACTTTTTTGAAATGAAAAAAATGTTACTAGTTCTATTCTGTCCTAAAAAAATAAATTTACATTGAGTTTTGAAGTTTATACTGTTAATCAACGGCAGAGACTGGGGGTGGCCAACCGGTGCGGCAGCACCCCCTCTAGATTTTAATTTTTTTAATTATGTACTCCCTCCATTCCAAAATAAGTGTCATTTTAGAGTTTACACACAATTTAAGAAACACTTAAATAAGGTAGCTAAATTACTTGAATATTCTCAACCAACCACTAAAATAAATGCTCAGCAATGATATTATTTCTTTTGAGGGTATGTTTGAAAATTTTTGACAAAAAAATATATTGGAATCCGAAAACGTCACTTATTATGAAATTTCTCCATTTTGTTAAAACGACATTTATTTTGGAATGGAAGGAGTATTATATAATTATTAAGTACACATTGTAATGTTTTTGTTTTCGTACCCCCTCTAAAAAATTTATAATAATAGTTAAACTTCTTCTAATTAATCAATTTATGAACAAACCTTTATAACAATGTGTTTTAATCAATAATTGGAATTCTTATGTAAAAAAATTAAATATCAAATCTTGGCATTTAAATACTGGTAAATGTGCTATTTTTTCTAGATGATGATGATGTAAACACCAAGCATTTACGATTGAAATTAAGACTCGAAATGCCAAATATTTATAATAGGCTAAAACTTTAACATGAAACTTAAAATGGCAAAATGTATCCACCCTTTAAATTTTGTTTGCTCGAAGAAAAAGAATGATGAATTCAAGTGAATTATACTAATAAAATTTTTTAGTGGTCTTATCTTGTAATAATTCAGTAGAAGTATTTTTTTCCCCCTTATTTTTATATGAATTGTTTTTGTAAAATTGGCCAATATTAAATGCATCTAAAGAAGTCATAAGCTTGTGACTTCTAGTTGCAAAATGTGTAAATATTAATGAAGTGGTTCTAAATAATTTGTAATAAATTTTGAATGAGGAAAAAAAAAATGTGTTTTAGTATATATATTTTGTTAGCAATAAATATTTATTTTTAGTATTTAGTACTCTTGCCGTGATAATTTTTATTTTGCACCCCTAACCCAAAATCGTGGCTCCGCCACTGCTGTTAATATAAATTTAAAAATTTAATGTGAATTATTATTTCAGGACAAAGGTATGCAGTACTTTAATGATTGGCACATTTTTAAAATAGCTAATCTGAGTTACGTACTGCTGCTAAACGCGTTGACTTCTAAAGAAAACAGTAATTAGAATTATTGGGGGAGGCAGATCAAGAAATGGGCGAGGTGTTTTGAAAGTTCAATGTACAGTTTCTACAGACGAGAAAACCTGATATGTTCTAGAAATCGTGGTTCTAGAATGACGATGGAATCAGTTGGTTTTTCCCATTTCACATCACTGACATGCTCGATCTCTTGAACAACAACATAGTACTACTGGCTACTGTTGAGTCTGTAGGTGAACTCACGTTATAAGTTAAAATCCCCAACTCAATAGTCAATATATAGTAATCATCGAAAAAATGATGCCGAATTGACTAATAAAAAAAGCAATTCTTCTTCAAAGAAAAACCGAAATACCGGCCAATCGTAGGTAGCGTCTTTTCATTCATTATAAATGCAATGTAATTTTAAGATGTCTATATTCTTTTTCTTATTAATTACTATCCCTAATCGTAAAATACTATTCTAAGTTAAGATTTTCTGGTGAATGGGTCTTGTAAAAAAAAATATAATGTTTACGTAATGATTAGTTCATGACATTCGTTTTCTATTTAATTAAAGCCTCATCAATCAAATGATTTTTCCAGTAGTTTCATAATGGAAGGACATGTGCTTAATTAATCAAGACACAGATTATAGAAAAATCAACAAGAATCATGTGGCTCAGCAGAATGATCCAAGTCAACACGTAGGTACGAAACGATCAATGGGCTGTTGAAGTGTTTGTTCATTGATCTAATTCAACTTTACGTAACAAATGTGTTGTGAATGTACGGGTACACGATCGATTACGTGAACCTTGGGGATTCATTGCCCCAACTGCACAATCATTTTAAGACAAAAACTACTATATTTATAAACAAAAGCTCTTACTTGAAACGGAACAGGTATTAATTAAAAGATTTAAAGCACATACGATGGTGCACCACATTTTTTCAACCTTTAAATTTCTTTCCCTTGTACGTACAATTTTTTTTTTCCTGCAAAAAGCTGTGATGGTTTTTGTCAGCAATAAAGAGAATTATTAAAATGAGATGAAAAAGATGAACGTAACAGGGAATATGAGATTCTCTTATTGTTGCTCTCGAATGTATCGAATTTTTGTTATCTATTAAGTTACGACAAGTTCACGACATATGCCAACATAGTACTTTCAGGGAAAGTCAATTTGTCAATTTTTACATGTAATTGAATTTGGAATAAGTAATTAGGTCGTCTAGACTCTAGATCTCTTTTGCAAGCCAAACTCCGTTTTTCTTTTTAGTCGTCTACTACAAAGCCTCGTGCCATTGTTTGAGGCAAGGATATCTTCTGAGGTAACTAGGTAGAGATGAATTAATGTCTCAATTTCATAGAGAAAAATTTTCATGTTTATTTTAAAGTAGGAATAGCCATAGCACTACTAATAAACTATTCTCTCTGTCCCAAATAGTAGTACTCCCTTCGTCCCATAATTATTGTCCGGAGGGAGTACTACTATTTGGATTCGTTTTAATTTAGTTGTGTATTAATGGAAAGTGAAATGGTTTAATTTAGTGGAAGAATTATTCTTTTTCTTTTTTGAAAAAAAAAAGAAAAATAATTAATAACCGTAATTCTATAGTTATTTTTATTACTATATCAATGTAACACCGGGATGATGACTAGATACGGTCCGTT